AAACATTTTTGACCAAGGCTCTCTTTCTTTGTAAATATTTCTGAATTCATGTTCATTTCTCATGAAAGCAATGGACTGTTATTATTGTAATGTTCAGTGTTTATGAGTAATGTTAATGTTTTTATCTGTTTGACCAATTTCTCATATTTTATGACATGTATTTTTCCACTAATAGTTTAACTGAAGTGAATTTATGTTTTTATATCGCTAAAATAAAAGAAATAAAATTCTGATGTTTTATTATTTAATCCATTTTTACATGCTATTTTGAAAAAATGACCAAACATTCTTGTAATAGACTTCTAATTTACAATTATAAAGCCTGAAGTGGTGCGAGGTCAAAACGACCTCCCGGCGGTTCTAGGAGGTACTGCATTGTTGGCGGTTCTAGTGTTAACATGTTTCTCCTTTGGGTTGCTCCACTTTATCCCTTTGGCCTCAGATCTTCTTTTGTTCATGACAGACCAGGTACTGGAGACATGCAGGCTGTATAATCGGTGTAGAACGCTATGATTCTTTCTTTTCCTTAGTGGTCCTCTCCCTCTGGGCTGGTTCTGGATTGATCTTTTTGCCTTCATGTAGAGGAAAAGTGGCCTTGATTAAATTTATAACTCATTCTTGCAGGTTTTTGCAGCCCTATAGGAACATCATTAATTTCTGCAATGGAACTAACTGTTGCTTGTGAGCATAAGAGGCAAGTTGGTGAATGAGTAGATATTAAGAGGCTTAACAACATTAACAAGTGAATGAATCAATAAAGCAATGGTAGTGTTTTGAAATAAAAATGTTTAGGATTGTTTAGGTATGTTGTCTGAACTGAAAGTGTTTTGGTCATCGATCTGGACTCTTCAGACTGATGTACTCTGAAGACTTTCCACTAATATGACATTTTACAGATGTTATAAACAGGGAGAGTAGGACAGCACACCTCAGGAAGTAATTACTCAAACACAGCACAATGAGTTCATGTTTTACAGATGCACAGAAATGCAAGCACTTCTGATGTTTCCAAACAGTGCTGCAAAAACCAAACACATCTGTATAACATAATAGAGCATGCATGTATCCACACATCCGTGACTTCTGATACACTACTAGATCCTGTGCTTTTCATCGTCCATAGCTCTTAAATTCAGACCTATGAAATAAGAGCTGACTTTGTGCTAACCCATACAGCAGACACTCAGCCACATTGCACTTTATCTTATTGATTACATCAATTAACTTTAAAACTGTGCCCGCTACCTCTTCTCACATTGTTTCATGCATACTTAAAAATAAAGTACTTGTAAATGTGCTTAATCATGAGACACGGACAGCAAACAACCCGGCTGCTCTTGCCACTGGTGTGGTTGGAGTGGTGAAAACTGGAGTTTGTAGACGTTGCTCCTCCCATGTTCCCTCTCTCACTGTTTTACCGAGGCACACCACTCCTGTTCCTGTGGACCAGTCACTCTTTACACTTCTCCCACTCACAGCACACTCCTGTGTTCTGTCTCTCTGCTGCTTTGCTACTTTGTTGTTTCCTGCTGTGTTCCTTCATCCTTTCTCCAGCTCAGTCTCATTCACAGCTCACAACTACGATCTAAAAACCACCCCGTCAAGGTAAGAGACAAACACCACCTCTTTCTCACACGCATTCATTTACCTGTTAACAAAACACTTGTTTGCCTTTTGATAGAAAAATAAGTAAATGAATAAATAGCTTTATGCTTAAAGGTCTGTTTCACACAAGTTAGTTTCATTATGTGAGTTATTTTACAGTGTTGTGTAATTCAGTCTGATATGCAGGGGTGTATTTGCCTTCAACTGTATGTACATCACGCCTCACTCTCATGAGAACCAGTCAGTACAAGCAGAGGCAACAACATGTGCTCATATGCAGGAGTTATATGACTCCAGCTTCAAATGAATGTTTTCACAGGACTACTGTAGGTGCTGACCGTGTGGAAGCTTCAATACTAACTATAGCCTTTGACTAGCTAATCCCCATAGATGAAATCCCTCTAATTTCTTTACTTTGTGAACAAATGTAGAGTAAGAGGGGGTGGTTCACCATGGGAATAGATAACAGACTAGTCTAGTAGAGCCAAATGTATGTTATCTAGTACAGTGCATGCTGCATTATATGAATTTGCAACTGCTTGTAGAGTAAAAGTGTAAATGAATAACAACAGACTAGAATCTCAGCATCTGATAGAAGTTAATGCATTACAGTAGATATATTGTTGCCTTTCTGTAACCTTTAAAAGACATTTGCACCAGACAATACTGTAACGTACTTAAATGTTTAGGTGTTACAACCCAGATTATAAGATTTTTATATACAGTGGGAAAAAAGAGAGAGAGGATTTAAAGATTACAGTAAACAACAAAGATAAAGTAAAGCCAAGTTACCTTAGTTGACCTGCTTTTAGTGTGAGTATTTCCTCGTTTCACCACTCAAGCAAGAATAACAAACATTGTCATTAGGTAGAGAATTGTGGTACAGCTCACTCAACCAGCGGTTTGGCAGTCTGATGAAAACACCTATGACAAAGCTATAACATCCCTGTCTCCTAGCAATTACACTAATACCCAAATGAACTGCAACGGGACTGTAGATGCAAACCATACTTTGTATGCCTGCCGTTCGACCTGACCGCAACTTGCTGTTGCTGTAAATGTAGTGCTTCATTCATTCAATCAAACATTGTTTCAACCTAATCCAGCCAGTGATTATGTTTCCTACAAATGGTATTTGCGGTTATAGTTTAGTTGGACACAAATGCTATTTGTAGGAGACAGAGTTGCGATATTGCATGATGTTGGTTTAGTATTCATTGTTGATTTAGTTCTTGCTCTCATTCATGACTTCATAAAGAAACATATGCCATTTACCACTCCCCTTACTATAAACAAATTGCATAACATGACACTGCTAATCTTAGTTGTAGTTTTATCCAGATTATTGTCGTTTACTGTATTGTGCATATTGTGTCAGCAGTGATATATAATATTAAAGAACAGGGTATAAATAACATGAAAGAAAGAAAAAAAAAGATCAGAATGAACAAATATATATAGTGAGTTCTAGGTGTGTGTATTCAGGGATAAAGAATCTCTGCTGCACACTATGTTAAACTTTGAGTGTGATCTGTAATTGCAGCCATGTCGTGCTACGTGTGAGGCAAGGAACAAGAACAACAGTCTTGTGTATGAGAACCCGTTTTTAAGCTAGTGAATCCATACATTTTCTTTATCATTGCTCATATGGTGGATCTGACATGTAACAGTGTTGCCTGTCACAAAGCAGAGGTGAGTATTTTTCCATGGCCTGCAGCAAGATTTTTATTCTAGATTTAAAGTATGGCTTTTCGTTATAGTCATATGTAGAAATGGGGCAGTGATTTTATGTTGGATTTGTTATACCCATACACATAAGACCTGAACAAATTCAGTCAGTCACAGAGGTGGAATTCATTAGTGTAGGTTATCCTCATTAGGTCACTATTAGTGTATTTAAGTCCAGATGCATTTAAGAAAGGTGCTGTTCTTCAACAGCCATCATACAGTATTTGCTGGTTTCTCATGCAGGTCTTGCATATTTAGCCTTAAAATCTCAAAGCTTTTTCTCCTGGCTCAGAAAGCCCTTAAAAGCTGTGAACCTTTTTTTCATGGTAGAACCGGACACATCCTAAAACTCTCTAAAATCACTCCTCAAGTCCTCTGTTCACTTTCTTCAAAACATCTTAAGCTGAGAGCAGCTTGTATTCATCATTAAAACCACAAAACAAACTTTAGTTTTCTGTCATTACTTTGCATATTTGTCTCTAATAGAGATACTTTTATTGGAATTAAAATGTTTGCTAAACCACATGATATTGCTCAGTCCATTAATACTATTGATGCTGCCAGCATTTTTTTCCAGCTGAAAGTGAATAAAGTGTGCTATTACTGCCTATCATCACTTTTGAAACACTTAAACGTCATGAGAGCTGAGATGCTTTTAGCATACCCATGCTTCTCTTTTTTTTTACCCTATTTCTTGCCAACAGAAAATGGTTTCCAAGCGGAAAGTGGGCTACAAGTGTCGCATAGCAGGAGTGTTGCTACTCCTGTTGGCCAGTATTGCTGCCCTTGTTGCTGTTGCTGTAATCCAGGACAAGTGGAGGTTTAAACAGTATAACTTAGAGGTGAACACATGCATACACAGATATCTACAGATATACACATATTCTTATAAGAGCTTATTATTTGGCTGTAAATCTTTGTCAGTTCTGAATATGACAGTGATGTAAAATGTTATCCAGGTGTCAGGGTCAGGGTCCCAGAAAGAGGATAGCTCATCAGTCAGTATGGTGATGAATGGTTGCCCTAACAGAGTGTGTGTTTTTAAAGGTGTGCTGGAGTGTGGGGGTCACAAAAGCCTCTCCACAGTTTCATAAAACAGTCTAGGCTCTTTGTCAGATTAACATAATTCAAAGGTTTTAGATCTTTTACTAATCAAGGTAAGAAGTGCAATCGCTTAGGGCAATGGAAAAATGTGATGTTATAACATGATTCTTTTTCTCCTTCCCTTCAGTATGGCATAGTAATAGACTCGGGTTCATCTCGTTCTAATGTGTATGTGTACGAATGGCCAGGGGAGAAGGAGAATGAAACGGGAGTAGTAAAGCAAATAGCGAACTGTAGAGTTGCAGGTGAGTCTCTGTCAATACAATGAGAAGAGCATGTTGCAGTTTTTGTGTGTAAAAGTTATACATTTTTTGGTGTTGTGTTAAAGCCGCGGCTAATAAATATTCTGAAATTTAAAACATACAGTACACTACTCCATCAATATTTATTCAGTTTAAGAAAAGAAAGTGAAACACTTTTACTCCGACATGTTAGTTCATGCTTTTAGTGCTGTACTTAAGACTATGATTTTGGCCTGGCTTGTGCCCACAGGTCCTGGCATATCAGAGATGAAAGTTGATGAGCAGAAAAATGCTGAAACATGGAAACCATTCAAAGACTGCATGGACAAAATCATCCAAGGGAGCTACAGCTGGAATGAGACTCCTACAGTGAGAAAGTGTCAAAATGAGTTTTAGCTTAAGGATATTCTCTCATCATGTTGCTTATAATGTATTAGAGACAATATATAATGTATAAAAATAATGTACAGTATTATTACTGAGCATAAAAGTTATTTATAGGCTAGAATTTCTGTTATCAGTCTGCTTAGTTAACACTCAACAGGAAAACAAGACTGTGTCGTCCAAGACGTCAGACTCTTTCTGCAATAACACTGATTCCATGTTTGACTGATTGTAAGAGCTGTAATTCTGCTTCCTTTTCTGCTTTGCCATAAGTGATAAGGATGAACAGAGGTCCAATGAAATCCTAGCAAGACTCAGAGAGTACCTAAGCTCTTTGCCCTTCTCCTTCCAAAATGCCTCCATCATTACGGGTCAAGAAGAAGGGCTGTATGGGTGGATCACTGTTAACTACCTCAAGGGAAACTTCATAGAGGTAAGACATAGGCATCGGTCCATCTGGGCTGTCTTGATGTATACTTGTCCCTTTAAATGTGAAAAAGGATTAAAAATAGAGTAGTAGGTTTTTATCTTACTGTATATTAACCTTTTCTATTTGCAGAAAAACCTTTGGAACACTTATGCACGCCCACAAGGAGCAAAGACAGTAGGATCCATGGACCTTGGTGGAGCATCAACACAGATTGCCTTTGCAGTCCAGGAAGATCTCAGTGGGCCTGACTACATGCATGTCCAACTGTACGGGTACCCTTACAATGTATACACACACAGCTACCTCTGCTATGGCAAGAATGAAGCTGAGAAGAAGGTTCTGGACAAAGTGGTACAGGTACACAGCTTTTCATTCATCTTCATCATCATTATCTATTGTATGTGTGTGCATGCAAGAAACTGTTTTTCTGAGCTTGCTGCTTGTACAGCATGTGTTACGTTTATGTTTAAGTGTATTAGCAGAAAGAATGTATGCTTTTTTTGCATGCATGGGCAAGACAAAGTCCATTAATGCCCAGTTATGAATTGATTAGGAAACAAGGCTGTTCCTGAGCTGCTAACAGGCAAAGGGAGACCAGTCAAGGATGCATTATGTCATTAAGAATATTGATTGGACCGTGAATGTCCTCAAGCTAGTTTGCTAGAAATGCATTATTTCTGGTAGCTTAGAGCTTAATTCTTGAAAGAGAATATGCATGTAATGGGTATGAATTTGCAGGAGGGCTCTGGTATAAAATGTTAACTCGAAAGTTTGTATTTACTTTGGGATTAGTATGTGATAATGTGTAATTCAAGTACTGTAAATAAGCAGTGGTTTAAATACTATCTATATATGACCTGTCTGCATAAGTAACACTGTCCAGACTCATATCTCATGCTGCCATGTCTCTTCCTGTTCCTTCTCTTTCCTTTTATTTCCTCCTCATGCTCCAATCCTTCTTTTGACATTTGTGTCCTCCTTGTTATGTTCCAGGAATCATCTGACCCAGCCAACATTATAAACCCCTGCTACCCTAAAGGTTTTACCAACACCATGAATGCCTCAGCCATTTATGAAACAGCGTGCACAAAGAAACCCCCAAACTACAACCCCGAGCAAAAACTGTCCATGGTGGGAGACGGGGACTCAGACAAGTGTGGGAGCATAGTGAAGTCCATATTTGATTTCGAGACTTGCTCCTCATCCCACTGTTCTTTTAATAATGTGGGGCAGCCACCGGTCACGGGAGAATTTATGGTAACACTGCAAAAATATAACACATGCAAGCAGGCAGATGAAGATGCACAACACCTTACTATGTTTCTACTGTTCCTGCCAGGCATATGCCGGATTCTTCCACACTGCTAAGATTCTGCTGTTAAATGGCACATCAGATCTTGATCAGTTCAACTCCTCACTTACGAAATTCTGCCAAACACAATGGACACCGGTAAGTTCTTCAATATAGTACACAGCTATAGCAATAAGAAATGACGACTGGAAGAAAGGATGCCTCCAAAGGTAAATCTATAGGAGGGGAAAAGGTGGAAGAGAAGGGTGGCAAGGATGAGAAGAAAGGGAATAAAATTTGGGAAGGTAAGAAAGAAGGAAAGTCAGTGAGGAATGAGGAAAAACTTTATTTATGTCCAATCAAACCAGCTCCTCTCATCCCCTTTAAAGAGCAGATGGAAATCTGTCTGATGTCACTGATGTCATGACATGAAAATATATGTATAAAAAGATTCTTTCCTTGTATCTTCTTCTCTTACCAGTTATGTACTCCTTTCCTGAACTGACAATGACAAGACTGTTTATTGTAGAAGTATTGCACATAACTATTTAGTCTGCTAATATCACTGACCAGCTTTTGTGCCTGGAAGAAAGGAAGTGTCTTATCCTGAAACCAGCAGCAATTATATAGTGAAATTTACTTACAGCAGCATCTGATGTGCAAAACCCACGGGGGTCTCAAGTGTATGTAACTTTGTAACTATTTTAAGAAAGCAATAAAATTAAATTGTAACCATTTTTGGAACTGGCTGTAGTTCACCAGAGCGCACAGCCAGTGGATGTGTCGCCCACTTTGTTTCCACCTACAGCTGCTTTCAATTGTGCTGGCAGGAAAACAGAACCCGTGGTGTTATAGTCTTTGGTCTTCATCTTGACTACAACAGTGCTATTTAGTTATTGAGTTCAATTTAATTCACTTGCGTAATTGTTCTTCCTAATCACAGGCTAAACTCTGATTTTTGTTTTGTGTTTCTTCAGCTGAAGAAAGAAAAGCAAGGAGTGAATGATGCATACCTCAAGAGCTTCTGTTATTCAGCTCACTATGTCTTCACTTTGCTGGTAGATGGATACAAATTTGACAAAGAAACCTGGAAAAACATTGACTTCCAAAAAGAGGTTGGTTGAAAACACACACACACACACACACACACACAGATATGTAATTTTAATTTCATTTCATTTAATTGCGTTTGTTTCTGAAGCCAAAGCCAAAGTATATCCACTCTATTTATTCTCTATTATGTATATATTCTCACAGCAAACTAATTCTCATATATTTAAAGATGAACTACACCACCGGAATAAGGCAGACAATGCAATTTGATAAGAATTGTATTTGAGCAGTCACCAGCTACTCAGACAGTGACATTTAACAGCCTTTAACATAAATAAGTGTGAATGGGACCACCCACTGGGACCCATTAAATATGAATGGCTGACATGCCAATCATCTGCACTGAAAACGTTGAGGGCAGAGTAAAAGTCAGGCGATGTATCGCCCCGGGACACCCTGAGGATACGGAACGTCTTTGACAATGGAACTCTCTGAACAGACGGGAATTCCTGCTCCGTGACACTCAGTTCATCACTCATGAGTCATAAAGCAAGATCACTTTAAAATGTGCACATTACAAGCACAGATCCCAAATTGTATTGGCGGTTACCCTTTAGACTTGATTGCATGGAAGTTCCTCAACAGCTGGCAATTCTCCCAATTTCCAATCCCAACAAGAGAGCAAGTGTGCTGTGTGCTGCCTTTGGGCTGTCTGGGAATCTGGCAGTTGGCCTTTTTTAAGAAAGTCACTTAACAGACATAGTTGGATTTCTTAATAGGGGCACTCTTTGGGTGCTATGAATCATATTTTGCCCTCAAGCTGTAACAGTGTAACTTCATGACAAAACTAATCTCAAATTTTATAGACATGCCAAATGACGTATTAGCTAACTGGCAGCATGTACTACTGAAACAACATTGTGTGCAGCATGTAAATCCACAGTGAAAAAGAAAAATCTCTTCTCCTCTCTTCAGGTAAAGAACACCAGCATAGGGTGGAGTCTGGGTTACATGCTGAGTATGTCCAACATGATCCCATCTGAAGTGAAAGAACTCCCCCCCATGACAGACCCTGTCTTCGCTGGCCTTATCTTTTTATTTTCAGCACTAACCATTGTAACTGTTGTCATAGTTTTCATCATCCTCATTCGCACCTGCTACTGAGAGTGTAAGTCACAAAGAGAATGATCTGCCACTGAAAGCCTTGAGGGCTGCTGTAATCCTCTAAGTAGCCAGAGTGCTACTGTAGGATACTGTAAGGGGAACTTGTGTTCAGTGTTGAAATGTAAATGTTAGTTATTTTTCAGCCTGAGCCATTTAATGCCTTCTGCTTCAATCTTTCAAAACTGATGAAGGACATTCACATGAAAACCTCACTGTGTATCCAGCCTTTGAGTCTTTGAGCAAACTTCACATGTGAGATTGGTTTCATTGAGAGTAAAAATGGGCTCTTAGCATTAGTTCATTTTTATTTACCTTAGGGAAAGTCACACACTTCCCAAACTTTTCTCATTAAGTTGACTGCGTTCTAAAGGGAAGTACAGCCGTTTTACAAATCAAAAGGTGACACGGTAGTTGCCTGAAAGGTGCACAAATGGTGCAAAGAGCATTCAAAAATGTCCCCACCCTCATCACACATTATATAATCTCAACATTATGTAACTTTAAAATGGGATTTTATATGTATATTCGCACTTATGTGCTCACACACGCACACACCCCTCAAGAAAACAGGTTGTTCACACATTCACTGTTTTTTTTTCCTGTATTGTACCTGTAATTAGACAGAATGTATCTTCTTCACATACAGAATGATAGCACTTAATCATGGCTTTACTGACGTGTTTTTTATAAGTATGAACTCATTTGAAACTGTAACTACACAATAACAGTCCACGTTTACTGTATGAAAACCTCCCTAATAAATAATATATTAAATGTGAACGATCTCATGATTTTTGTGATTTCTGAAAACTAAATACATGGTCTAAAGTTGTATACAGTGAATTTGCAACCAATTAAAAGAGTAAACAAAATGTATTATCTGAGTTTGGACAGTAGCCAACAATTTTGGAAAATTATTTAGTGCAACAATGGTTTAGTTATTTTACCATTAAATACATTAGGCACAGTATAAACTAACCTTATTTTGTTCCATTGCAGGGAAGGTTTTCATTCAGTACATAAAGAAAAGCGACCTGTTGGATAAATATTAGAAATGCATAACTGGTTAATCCCATAAAAGAAGGTTGAAGCTATAAGTCAGTGGAGTAGTTTGAAAACAACACCAGGAAATCAAATGCAGTGTTGAGAATACTTCCTGTCAATACTGACAACACACATGTACTGTATAGTTTTCAGTCTAATTTATATATGGAATTGTTTATAAAATGAACAATGTCTGATTGTGTCAATTTGATTTTGATGAGAGATGTAATCAGCAGAAACTAGTTTACAGGTATAAAGCTTAGATAACAACATATTTACTGGAATTGTTGTTGCTGACAGTTTTGAGAAGAGCCCCAGTCAGTCCGCAACAAAAATCCTGAGACCGTTTCAAACTGTTAATTACATCTAGATGGAAAAGGTATGGCTGAGAGGGAGCAACAAATGGGACTGACTGTCTAAGCTGTGCATGTTAAGTACATCCAGAACATTTAATTGATAAATCACTGTCAAGAATTAAAAACTAAAAAACCTTTTTATGGTACGCTTTAGTAAGAGAAGGATATTTCCTCACTGGCAGGTCTGACTGAAAACAGCTTGAGTACAAGCTTGACATTCTGTATCCATCATACTTTATTTAGGAAACTTTTTCTGTGATATTGTCTTTGCACTGCTGATATATGTATATGCACGATTCTCATGTGATGCACTGTAAAGGGTCTGTTTTGAGAATTCTCTCTTTATAGCGTATGTAATAAACCTATCTACAACTCTACCTTTTGTCGATGGTCATTTATGACTCAGATAAGTGATGTAATTACCTGAGCTCAGCATGTTATTTAATTTTATATTAGAAACTTAAAATCATAGGTCTTCAAATCTAATTTATTAAATTGCAAAATAGAAATTAAAGAACAGCTATGGCTGTTTAACAATAAGCGCCTGTTTTATCTGTGTCCACCAACTGTAAAATCACTGATGACTTATTAAACTTACACCCACCCACACACACACACACACATACACATCCTCCAACAACATCCTACAAATCCAGGACCTCAACAATAGTGCTCTCTAGTGGTACTGCCTTGTACCTGCAGAATCTAAAAAGATGGGTGCTGACTGAAATGTTTTTTATTGAAAGATTTGTCTAAAAAGAAAACAAAGAAAAGAGGCATTTGAATCTACAGCAATATCCACTTCTACAGACACTCTCAGAATCACAATTTGAAAGAGATGGTAGGCATGAGACCAAGCAAATAAAAAAATAGCATCATTAAAGTTATTTCTGTTTTCCTTCTTTTACACACTTGTACAAAAAAATCTCATAAATATTACTTTTGTTCTTGCTTTCCCCACTCTGTCTGGTATTTTTCAATAATTTACCTTCCAATAAAGGTTTGTATCTGCTTGGTTTTGGTTGAACCATGCTTTCCCTATGTGTGTGTCTGTTCCATTAGCTTCCTATCACTGATAGAGGGTCACCTCAGAGCCAGTGTCAGACAGCTAAGTGTTTATGTTTAGCTTTTTGTCCTCACCTGATGCACTCTTGCTTAGTACAAATAATGCAGAGCCTCATTACCTTTGTCTTTATCCCAGTTTAAAAATGTCAGTAACTGTCACTCTGGAGGTTCACCTATTCCACGCCCACTCAGAAGAAGGTGACCTCAATCCCCAATACTGAAAAGTGTTTAGCAGCTCGCATATTATAATCACTTGTCAAAAAAGGCAATGCAAAATGAATAAGAACATCAAAAATCTCCTTGTCCTTTTAGGACAATATACTGTACATAATCTGAAATGACTTTGTACAACAGAAATAGCTTTCCTCAAACATCACACTGTTCATATTATAAATGGCCTGTGACTGGCAAGACAGTGGCTTAAAACAGATTTAGACTATGCATTTCAAAACGATTAAATCTAAAGAATTTTGAGAAGCCCCCCTAAGCATCTCACTCTTGGTATTTAGGTTGAGATTGATTACTGCAGCCACAGGGTTTAATATTCTACAGTACATGGCATAATGCATTTCAGCTACCTCCTCCACCATCTCCACACCACAGGGTGCCTGGCCGCTCAAACAGATGTTACAGCCAGATGTTACCTTAGGTCCACACCATGTCTGATCATTGGACATCCTCAGAGACACAATTTCTGGTTGAGGCAATTAAATGTACTACATGTTTTCAGTCACTGACAAACCACCATTTCAGAGGTGAAACACAAAAGAAAAAGTGACACAAGGAAGAACTCTTCACTACCTAGTTTCTTCATCTTTGGTATAAAATATGTTACCTGTATGCTGTGTTTGAGCAACAGTTAAGAATGACTCAGGAAACTGTCAACAATTTAACTAAAACTATTGCCTTTTTGTACATTTAAAAACCCTAGTGTTTTCCTGATTTTTTTAAAAATCAAAAATTTAGCTTTTTTTTTAACTTTCTTTTTGCAGTGAGACAAGCAAAGCAGGTGAAGAAAAAAACAACCAAACTGGAAGGTAAAAAGACTACAATCAAAAACCAAAAAATACAAATGCGATGAAAATATGCAACCTTTATCTCATGATCGAACTAAACTCCAATTTCCAGGAAGCAGTGGATTAACCCTTTCCCACAAGTCACATTAAAGAAGTTTTTTTTTCTACCAACCAACATCAGCTGCATCGAACCACATCATTTAAAATCATCTTCATACAAATACAACCTTTTTTAAAAAAAAAATCCTGTACAGATAACGTTGTAGGTCTCACCGTAGAGGCTCCTGATAAGGAACTCAAATCATTCAACCATTCAATCTGTTTTGTTTTTTTTAATTCAACACTATGGAAACTTTTTTCCCCAAAGTTTGAGAAAATTAAGGCAATAAAGATTTACAAAAACATTAATACTCTAGAAAACTACTCAAAGAATTAAAAAGAATGAAAATAATGTAGCTTAATATTAAAGGAAGACAACTTTTCCCCCTAGACTCTTCTTCCTTCCTGTTTAAAAAAAAAGTCTGAAAATCTACCTGCACATTCAAATGTTCTTTTTTTCTGTACAACTTGTTGGTTGAATTTAGATTTCAGTCTATATCTTCTCTTTTTTTTCCTTTGGAGGCAAAGTCCAGTTTCACGGTGAGAAATGATACACTCAGAGTTGCAGTTTCATTTCATTGTCCTCAAGTTCAGCAAACTATCGTTGAATTTTCATAGTTGAACCGGATAAGAAACATAAATGATTTTTTCTTCGTTTTGTCTTTTATTTGGTGCCTGTGCACAGTGGGCACATTCTCCTCTCAGTGTCATCCATGTCACCTCCTTTTTTTTTGTCTTTGTTTCATTTTGATTCTTTCTGTGTCCAGCACCTCAGTGCAGTCCTTCTAAAGGCAATGCAGCAAAGATTCCCACCAATCCTGTTATCTAAAGGAGACAGAAAAACAAGTCAATAAAAAAGGGTAACAGAGGAAGCTGTGGACAATGTTAGTTTTTAAAGTAGGCCCAGCACTCATTGTCCAGCCACTGCATGTAAAACAAAACATTGGCTGGTTATCTAGGAGGCAGAAAGACAAGACAAACACCAGGAGAGAGACAAAAAAAGGGAAGGGAATGTTTTACAAGCAAAAACTGACATAATTCTGCATCCAAAAAAAACACATCAAATGGCACAGGATTGTGTCTTTTATTATCTTATTGTCTTTTGTTTTCTATAGCTAATTACTCTGTATTTACCAGTCTCATGTCTGTATCATCAATATAAAACTACAGCCACTAGCCGGGTAGCTCAGCAAAAGAGTGGAAACAGATGGAAATGGCTCTCCTGGGTCTGTTAGAAGGTAACTAATCAGCTTAATCAGGACATCTAAAGCTCACTGATGAACTTATTTGTCAGCCCATAAAAGAACTAAGTATAAGAATGATCATTTGCCAGACAGTTTTTTTAGTCTTTCTAGCTGTTTCTCCTCCAGCACTTCCACTCTTTCATCCTTCCATTCCTTACAGGGACTTGGACAAACACACTGGGCTTCTACGGTGACAATTCAACAATATTTGGTAGGGAACCCTTAAAAATAAAAGTTCTTGACTAGTCTAAAAAAAAAGAAATATTTATGGCATATCTACAATTGAGTGCAAAGGTTCTCTCTTTGAAGGTTCTCTCCTCTTACTTTGAAATGGAAAAAAGAGTAAAACAAAGACTTTTTTCTCATTAACATAATATCTGATGCACATTCAGCTAGTACACATATTTCTGCATAAACAGAAGTAACAAAAATGGTCAGGGAGTGTATCAAAAGAAAGTTATAGTAAGATTGAGTACCCTCTGAGCAGCGTTTGCAGCCTTTCAGGTGTAATTTTAGCCCATTCCTCCTTGTTCCAAGTCTACCAGCTTGTTTGTTGTCTGCTATGTACAGCCTTTTTCAAAGTGATCCACAGGTTTTCAGTGATACTGTAACTGAAAGGAAACTAGGAAGCTTGAGCTAGGAAAACTTGCTCAAGAGCTACGTAAGAATCCAAAACAAACAAAAGTGGACTGGACAAAGTTCTTAGAGGCAAATGGAATAAACGTCCACAACTCCACAGTCAAGTGTAGTCTCGACAAGGCTGGATTGTTTGAGAGAAAACCATGCTGGAAGCCAGTGATTACTTCTAGACATAAGGAGACATACTTGGAGCATGGTAAGGAGCATGTGAACAAACCAAATAAGTTTTGAAACAAGATTATATGGTCTGATGAGACCAAAGTTTAATTATTTGGTCATAATTCACACAGGTATGTGCAGTGAGGAAAAACCTCTGCCTACGAGGACAGGAACACCATTCCCACAGTCAAACATGGTGGAGGCTGATTGATGTTTTGGGGGTGCATGTTTGCGTTAGGCACTAGAGCTCTGCTTTAAGTGGAAGGAAGAGTGAATGCAGCCCAATATCAGAAGATTTTAGAGCAGAGCCTCCTACCATCACTAAGAAAGCAAAAAATGAAGAGGCAGTGGATCCTTCCAACAAGACAATGATCCAAAGCACAGAGCAAAGTCAACTTAGCAGTGGTTTAAAAACAATAAGGTAAATGTTTTAGAATGGCCTTCCCAGTCTCCAGACTCAAATATCATTGAAAACCTGTGGATCGATTTGAAGAAGGCCATACATAGCAGACAACCAAGCAATCTGGTAGACTTAAAACAAGGATGCCAAGAGGACGGGGCTAAAATTACAGCTGAAAAGGATGCAAATGCTGCTCAGAGGGTACCCAAAGAGGTCAGAGGAGGTTAGGGAGGACATACAAAACAGAGAACATTTCATAAGGGGGGTATAAACTGTTGCACTGATGTGATTTTCATTATTTTACTATACTTTTATTTTTATACACTTACCATTTTTGTTACTTCTGTTTATGAGGAAATATTTGTACTAGCTGAATGTGCATTAAATATTATGCTGAAAAGAAAAAAATTATTTGATTTACCAATTGCCAATTCAAGGTAAGAGGATGCAAACTGTTGCACTCAACTGTAATAGTTCATGTAGTGCTACATGGTACCAGAATCTCAGACTGACATTCAGCTTCCATTTTACTTGGCATCCACTTTCAACAGAAGCGTCTACTGTTTTTGTAAATATAAAACAGTGGAACAGCACTTCACTAAAGCTTGACAGTGCAGTGCAGGATGTAATAAGATAACATTTCTGTACTAGCACTACAGGGAGAATGTCATGAAAATAAAGCTGTCTACTCACTACACTCACTTAGTCTGCTGGTAAGAGTAGGCTGTGGCATGATCCCCTGTATTCTCCACTGATAAAGGCTGCTGCCCACTGCCATCCTGTGAGGAGGGGGCGGCTGTCTGTGGAGAAGGATCCGTCACCACACCCTGACACATGAAACACAGTTACAGAAATGAGTCCGGTATTAAACAACCACATGCTGTCAAACGGTTTCATTTCAAACTTCAGTTATACAAGTGAAGAAAGAAAGTTCACTGAGACAATCTGCAGGATACAGTCTACCAAAGACAAAAAAACAATAACTTGGTATTGATTAAAAGTCAATACCAACTGTCAACTTGTCAGACAGCACCAGTTTAAGGCCTGCCACTCATTTTAAGAAATGAAAACTAGTATCTCTATAGAGGCACTAACTATACCCGCTTATGTGTTTGCACGGGAGCTGGGTGAGAGGCCAGGTACACCTCAGACAGAGCGCCGGTCTGTCACAGGGCTGGCATACAAAGAAAGACCTAACCTGTATGTTTGGACTATGGGACTTCCCCCCACAGTCTGGAGGAAGTACTGTACCTGGAGGAAACCCACACAGGTGTAGTGACAACAAGCAAACTCCAGACAGAAAGGCCTTCCAATATTATCCAGACTTACAACCTGAAGTTCCCTCAGTGGCAATAAATGCATGAGGTATCACAAAGCAGCTACAAAATTTTAGTTGTCATGTAAAGGTGCAGAAACTAAGATTTTACATATTGTCTGATAAATCAAGTGAAAATGGGGCAGGATGTGTCTCTCCGCTATCCTCGCCCCCTCCATGACACTCTGCTGACTACAGTGCTTCTGTTGTTTTTCCATCTTCTTCATCCTGTTTTAAAAATCAAGTTCGCCAGCTAATGGTAGTTTCGGACTGGAGGCTGTAGTGTGCACAGTTTGTTGCAACCAGAAGTTCGTAGTTTACATTGATGCTAGGTAATATGATATAATGGCAGTCAGGAGGAGGCTTTTGGTGTCAGTTTGTTTTCAGTCTCACTTGACCTTCTAAAGTCATAGCACACTATTACCAATGAACTTGAATTACGTGCATATGGTTCACTGTGGGAAACTGTGGGAAGAGTAGCACAGTGTAATATTAGTAGAAATGTAAAAATAAAAAGAAGAAGACATTTGCAAAATAACAATAGGTGTGCTATTGCACCTTCGGGTGCTCGCAGACCTAATTCAATTCAAAGCCATTCAAAGCTACAACAACATTAATCAAGATATGAAAGTCACACAATGAAATAATTGTGAATATATACTTACAGTAATATTGAATTCAAATTCTTGACACAGTACACATTTTCCAACTTGTTTTTTGTTTCAACATCAGTATAATTGAGATGAGGCCAAATATGCTTTTAATCCCAGGCACTAAATCTTATAAATACAGCTCTGTTAAGGTCATTGTAGCACAGGCTGTTGTATGAACTTGATATAAAGGAGGAACCCGCATAAAGTCAATACACAACTTCTTGTTGTCCTTACTTCCACTGTGATGGCAGAGGCAGGCACTGCAGTGTACTGTGGAATGTAGGTTCCTTGCATAGGAGCAGCTGCTGCAGCAGGCATGTACTGCAGAGGGAAGAAAGGGCACAGACAATAATAATAATAATATGGACACAAGAAAATATCTCTTCTAGAAACTGATTAAAAGTAGTGCCTGATATTCCCACTGAGACATGCTTTTTTTTTTCTTTTTTTTACATTTTACAGTAACATTTCATAACGGTTTGGCTTTGGCCCAAGATCATTGCACATTTCACAGTTCTTGCAAGGAAAAGGTATTTTCTATAATGCCTAAGGATAACAGTTACAAGTGATCACAGAAATCAGAGAATAAGAATCAGAATCAGAATCAGCTTTATTGGCCAGGTGTGTTGGACACACGAGGAATTTGACTTTTGTACATATGCTCTCAATGTGTATGTACATATCCCCATACAAGGGGCAAGTAAACATTAAACCAACATAAGGCAGTGTAATATAACAAAATAAGCAGTATTAACAAGAAATAAACAGTACTAACGAGTATTAACTAATGTAAACATGCACATACATACAGGGTCAGATGGTTTAGAGGAGGTAAAAGCTGGAACTCACAGTGCCTGTAGTGCCCAGAGACAGGTGGTTCATCTGTTGGGTGAGAGGGGCCATTACACTGGAGGGGTGAAGAGACAAGCTGGGCTCTATGGCTGCAGCTGGGGTGATCACAGCACCCTGAGGAAGGAACGAGGCATGACCAGCTGGGTGAATGATGCTGCTGTACAAGGCGAATGAAATATTACCACCAGCTAGTTATTTACAGCAGAAATCACTGAAACAAACAAAAGTGCTGTTTATGAAGTTTGGCATATGAAGAGATGGTGGAGGAGAGAAGACTGAAATAGGACAAATGTAGTGATGAGCAGCTAGGAGGGAGAGAAAAGGGAATTAGAGTAGGTTAAAGCTAAAACTAAACCTCAAACTAAAATATTGTAAAGAAAACTTGTAGGTAAAGGCTTTGCTGTGACAGGGATAGTCTGAAATTCTGGGAAATTTGCTTGCCAAAGAAGGCTGATTTGACAGAAGCAGCCAGTGAGCTTAGTGCAGCATAAAGTGTAGAAGCAGGGGGAAGCAGCTACTGTAGTCTGGCTCTGCCCAAAATTAAAAATAAAACAAATCCACCAACTAGCACCTCTACAGCTCACATGGTAATGCATATCTTGCTTGTTTAATCCAATGAGAAGACTGAAAGGCAATTAAGCAATGAGAAGCCTATTGGATATTCACACTAAACACTATCAAACCAGGCCCCAGGAACCCCAGTGACTAAATGACGATTCTTCTCTAGTTTCATTCTTACAGATGATTTCTCATTTCAGATTAAGATTTACGTATCTTTAATAAAAATCACCTCATATATTTTTGTTATGTGATACTTTAGTAACTTGTTATTTGTTTTTATACTTGATATAATCAGGGTTAGTGGCAATAATTCCTTTAATTTCTGTATTGCACTACAATTCTTTTGTCAAGTTCTACTGTCATTGTACATTTAGAAAGTATTTGTCTATTAATCTACTTTTGTATATTCCTTATATGTTTTATTCTTTACAGACACCCACATTACTGTAGGTTTCGAGGTTTGTGTATCTGTGTATCCCTCAGTGTTGTTATGTAGTGTACACTGAATTTTTGTGAGATTTTATTTATTTGTAGATTTCATTTATTTTAATTGTCTTTTTGGCACCGACTCCCCTCAGAAGCTTTATATATACAGTATGTTTGTTCTTTAAGTTCTGAAGGTTTTATGGGAGATTGTGTGCCATACTTTACTTTAAGTCAGGTCAAATGCAACATTTAAAATGAGAAGGCAGACTGTTAAATTATAACTGCAGAATGTCAATCAGTGTGTTTACTCCAGTGGTAAACAGGTTGGTATTATGTGATACAGCTAAATAAAACCTTTTAAAACATGCAGCTACATGAAGAAGCTCAGACTTCCAACCCATTCAAGTTTGTTGACTGCAAAAGGTTTAACTTTGTACATGGCAATGCGGCCAGTCAGTTGACATGCCAGGCAGGCTTGACAGAACATGTCCCTGAATGGAGCACAGAGGCTTTTACTGTAAATCTCTTCCATACAATGGGCTTTGATGCAGCCTAACACCTTGATGCTCTGAGCTCTACTTTTCCAGTACAGCTCTGCTACAGCATCAGCAGCTCTGTTTAGATTTAACGGGAAATTCTTCACACTGTGTGCTGAGATCACTGGCAACATTTCTGCAATGGTAAACGCTGTTGATTTGTGATCACTGTTTAACTACATTTCCCATGAGCACAGACAGACATCAGCTGATATCTGTCAGGATTGCTCCAGAGAGCAGTTGGCCCTTCTGCAGCTGTATGATGACACAGGATATTTTAATTTAGGTATGGTGCATGTATATCAAGTGGTACACAGCTGGTTTACTAAAGTAAAAGAATCAAGACCACAGGGTAAAATACATGTGAAGGTCCTGCATTCAAAATGTTACTTAATTAACAGTATGAAAGTATTAGTGACAAAATGTACTAAAACTAGCAAAAGTAAAGGTGCTCATTATGCAGAATGGCACAGTTCACATCAACATATATCCTTTCTTTGGATTACACTGTAATTATTGATGCATTATTGTGAACATCATATTTTATGTTGCAACTGGTAAAGGTGGACCTAATTTTAACTACCTTATAAATAATTTGAAGTACTTTACACACCACCTGGTAGCTTGTGAATTTCCCAATGAAATCTTATAATGACAAACATGGCGGATGTAGTACGTCCGAATCTCATTCATACTACCAGGCTTCATACTATACAGTACCTACTGTTTTAACGGTCAGTAAGTAGGTACTTCATCTCTTTCAGTACGTATTGGCACAGTATGCGGTTTCGGACACAGCCATACTGAAAAGTAACAAGTAACTAAGGTTATCAAATAAATACAGTGAGTGCATAGTATATATATATTTTTTGAAATGTAGCATGAAGTTTTCAACTAACTGAAAACTGTTAACTGTACTTTACTGTACTATGTAAGTTAGGAAGGGAATGGAAGATGGGGTGGGGGATTCAGGAGGCGGGATGCACTGTCATCATCCTGTTCTTCTCTTTCTTCTCCTGCTTCTTCTTCCTCATTGTTTGGTCTTTGACCTCATTCATTTCTTTCTCCTCACTCCTCTTTGTCCCTTTCGCCACTTTCTCCTTCTCTTTGTTCTTCATCTTTCCTGTCCCATCTTTCTTCGCCTTTTCTTTTACTTTCTCCTCCTTTCTTATTAAGTTTTCCTTTACAGTATTTCCTTGTCATTCTCCATCTCCCACTCTTCCACCTGCTTCACTTGAAATATACACTTTTCATTGAGCTCATGGTAGTACAAATAATATTATCACAATACACACAAGCATCAGGGTATAGTAACTTAATAGGGGACAAAAGCAGAATCACATTTAATGTCTCAGCTGATAAAGGTGAAACTAATTTGAACTATTTTATGTTCTTATAATTTGAAATACTTTACATACTGCTGGCCAGCTTGTGAATTTTCCACCAGAGATCAGTAAAGTCTTATGATTACACTGTATTTTTTCATATTAATCTGATTTTGAAAAGTAACTAAAGTTATCAAATAAATGTAGTGAGTACAGTATTTTTCCTGAAATGCATTGAAGTCCAATTATGAAGTAGCAGAAAATGTAAACACTCAAGTAAAGCACAGATACCTCAAAATTATACTCAAGTACAGTATTTGAGTAAATGTACTTAGTTACAATACTGTCCACCGCTGTGTATTTTAGGCACCAGCCCAGCTGTATGACAACTCATGACAATACAAACACATGATGTAAAAGCATATGAAGTAATGAATGTCTGTTTGAAACTTTCTTTCTATAGGTCTATACAGTAGGGTCTGTCAGAGCTGTTCACAGCTATGAATCTGTAAGTGAAGATCCTTATGTCTGCAAGCTTGACATGCAAGGCACACACATACAGTATAATGCAGACAGGGACTGTCAGAACTGTTGACA